AGTCAGGGTATCCTTGAATTCATGCACAACTCAGAAATCAAACACTGTCGTGGTAAACCACAGTTTGTTGTTTTGCCCAAATAACAAGCTATGATTTTGTTCTCTTCTCTCCAAGTCATCATTCCAAGTCAGGGTTTAAGTCACAGCTTAGGATGCCAGTTTGGAGAGAATAAAATAAAGCACAGTTGGTGATCTGGGCAAAGCTGTTGCCCAAATGGGCTCATTGCCTAACAGTAGTTTGTTATAAAAGCAGAATTACTTGATTGTTGAACACGCATAAGGGAAAGATGTCAGAACACAACGGCTGGTCACTGTGCTTGAACCTTGTCCTGTATCTACTTTCAAGACACTTATATAAACCCTTCATACATTACATTATCATAAATGCATTCATGAATGCTAGTTCCTATGACCGTCTATTAATACACCAACAAACAAAACCAATGCTTGGGTCATGCAAATGAAGGACGGGCTACACAGAGAGAGGCCAGTGAGAACCCAGCCAACACCTATTGATTTCTATAGAATGCAATAAGTAGGCTAGAGTCAAAGCTGGAAGGAGATGGCCCTAGCCCTCACTTCAAATACTGGAACCATCAGTCAGTCCATGCTAACTGAATCTCAAGTCCACTCCTTTCTTTCCATACTGTACAAGGGAACTCTCAGCGCTGCACTGGAGATGACAACACAATGGGAGACTAACCCATCCATCATTTCTGACAACAGGGACCAGGTCTCCAACAACAGACAATTCATGGAGACACATGAAACATGCCTCTGTAAGCAAAGATACACACTGCACACACCACTATCCACAGGTGTCCCTGCAATACACACAAACACACTCCTTATAATAATGATGGGAACTTTTCTAGTTGTGATTTCATGTTATTTAAAACACAATCACCTTACCTCAAGATCTGCAAAAACATTGCCCCATTATAGGTGAATGGGAAAAAAGAATCCTAATGGATAAGAGAAGCCATGCGCTCAGTAACAGGTACAAAATCTGCTGCTAGCAGCACTCTCTGGGTTGGGGGCCTCTTCCACTTAACACAGCCTGAGCTAGTTTAGAAATATGGGATTTCTACATATACCCCATCACAGCAACCTCTTCCATGTATTGTAGGGAAATCTACAAATACAAAGATTTAAAAACAAAACATGGGCTGTCACTTGTCAATTTTGGCCCACGTGCACACTCCTATGATCACTTTCCTAGGAGTAAACCCCAGTGAATAAAACAGGACTTACTTCTGAATAACTTATATGCTGTGTAAACTTTATGCTGTTTTGTACTGCACTAAAATTCCTTCCGGTAGTAATCACTGATCAGGTTCAGCTCATGAATCCTTCACCATTCCCCAGCTATGCACACAACAGGAGCCCCACAGTTCATTTTTTTCTACTGTGCTGTGTCATGCTCTACACATTCCTACTTTATACCCAACTGAGCAAAAATTCTCTTCTCTTCCACCCTCCCAACACACTTTACCACAAACTCAAAAACGTACACTAATTCCTAGATTAGAAGCAAAGATAGTTCACAGCTGCAGAAAGATTTTCCCTTTGGGGACTGAACAATTACTCAGATCTTTCACTCACAGAAAAATGATTGACTTGCCAATTACCGTGTAACCGTTCTTCGCAGTGCTTACAGCTCCAAAATATTTACCTTAGTATCCCAATTAGTGACACACACAAACGCTCACCATCATGGAATTAAAGATGGGTTCTTAGATGCAGAGCATCTTCATTAGTAATGCTTAAGTCTTATCCTTGCATGATTTATATTGCAAAATTACATTATAAGTAAGTGAGAGTGGGCGGAAAATACTAAGAAGAAAAATTAAGTGTAATTATAGTTGTGACTCTTCAAGATGAGACTTTGAAAAGCACATTACACAACACTGACCGCTGAAAGTTATTGCTTTGGAAAGAAAGTTATCCTGAAGACTGGTGGTCTTCCAAAAACAAAAGCATGTATGGCTTATAGGCTTTCAAATTTCATTGTATGCTTTCAAATGGAACATGCCCTCAGAAGTCTGTTTGGCCCAAACAAAACCAAACAACTCACTTGTTTAGAACAATGACTCCTCAAGAATGTTCAATTGTGACATTTCATAATGTGCCCTACCTCTCAGAAAGTGATTCTGATAAGCAACAACCTTTCTAAAGGAAAAGAGATGTTTTCACTAATCACAGAGTTCATATGTTTGATATTAGATAGTTACGATACTGCATAATTTCCTTACTAGGGAAATTATAAGGTAAACAAGACACTTTGTACCAACACTCAAGGATCGACAGATACAATCACCACAGAAATGTAATGTTGGCAACTAGCAGGGCTACTCAGAAATGTAATGTTGGCAACTAGCAGGGAAACCCTTTGGTATACACAGAAATAATATGTTTAAAAGCTACGTGCAATACAGGTGATGTTGAAAGTGCTTCTTACACAATGGTGCCAGGCTACATCCTGCTAGCATGCAGCATCAGGAACAATGTGCCGGATCTCAAGAGATGCTACCAATACATACACACATATCACCTGCCATTTCCCCTCTGTAAAACATCCTAGCTGAACAGTAGGTATTAGAGAAACACAAACTTAATTTGCTTACATGGAGCAGGAAGAAAGCCACGTTTCACTGGTTACTAGAAACAATTGTTGTTTATAAACCCCAGACAAATCTGTGAAACCTATACTGAAAGTCTGTCCCTGAAATTTATAACAGACAACTTGAGTATGTTTACTTGGAAGGATTGTTCAAAATAATGTTGTAACTTACACTCAGGAAAATAATAGCATCCATAATGTCCTTTAAATATCAATGATCTTGACGATTCAAAAAAAAGAGAGAGAGGAGTCCGGCAGTAGCGCATATAATCTGTTTATCAATGTTCTTCTCAAGTGAGGCATTTTGCACACATCTATCCATCAAGTCTCCAGAATTACAAGTATCAGCATTTTCAAAGTGCTGAGCAATCTAAACATACAAACACAGGATGCCCCAACATATTTGAGTGCCTAAGGGACAAAGGCCAAATATCCATACCATTAAAGGTAAAGGTTCCCTTCCTCGAAAGCCAGTCGAATCCGACTCTAGGGTTGCAGTGCTCATCTCTGTTTCAAAGCCGAAGAGCCAGTGCTGTCCGAAGACATTTCCGTGGTCATGTGGCCGGCATGACTAAACACCAAGGCGCACAGAACGCTGTTACCTTCCCACTGAAGCGGTACCTATTTATCTACTTGCACTTTCTTGCTTTCGAACTGCTAGGTTGGCAGGACCTGGAACTAGAGACGGGAGCTCACTCCGTCATGTGGCAACTCGGGTCTCGAACTGCTGAACTACCGACCTTCCACAGCCTGCAGTTCAGCGTCTTAACCACCTGAGCTATTACATTACGTTACATTAAATAACACTGACAATTTGCTGCCCTTATTGGGACAGACCCCCAATGAACCCATATCAAGGTTAGTGAGGCCCGGGGATGCCTACAATAAATCAAGGAAAGTACTTGAACTGCTGACCCCGCATATGAAAGAGAAATTGACTGACCAACCAATTATAAATAATTCAACATAATTGCTTTGGAAAATTTATGAAATACGAAACACAATATGCTGTTAACAACCCAGGCATAAAATCCTAAATGAAAGTTTCAGGCAACTAAGAAAAAATCCATAGATTTATATCAATGTCAGTTCCTGCATAATTGGGTAATCAAAATCCAGAATGTTAATACCTCACTCCGCTTGTGGTATACACAATAACCTTGACTAATGATTTTTAAATAGAATGTTTAGCCACTTGCTCCAGTTGACTCGTGGGAGCGTTAATGTGTTCATCTTTAAGCCATGGGGTTCTTAACTTGAATGACAAGTACCACAAAACAACTTCTGTCTAAAGATGTTAGAAAGAGGTTACATTGTCCTGGTGTGATCAGAGAAAACGTCACAGGACTCAAAAACACAGGCACCTTGTATTGGAAACAGCCAATACTTCACGGAGCAACAAGAACTGTTCCTAAAGAAATCTCCAAAATGCCTACAATACAGGACAAAGGGACACACTATTGCGGGAGGGAGAGAACCCTAAGAAGCATGCCTAATACAAGAAATACCCAGATAGAAGATTTTAAAAACCCCTTAAGAAAATTCAGAGAAAGCAAGAACATTTTATAGAGTACATCCATATTTTAAAAACTTGAAATTTAATCATACACAAATCTACGTAGGCCTGAGGAAAAAGCAGGCGCCTTTTGCAGTGACATCAGTGCCACAGATGTCACTACTACACTGCAAATGCACATGCAGACATACAGAGAAGTACAGCTGCCAGTCACATTCTCTGATTTAATGGTGACCATGTACACCTATGCTATGGGGGAGACAGATATTTCGACTGGGGTGGGATATTTTTCTCACTTTTAACATGCTTTACCAAAAGTCACCTGTCAAAAAGACAGGTACAACTGAGTACAAGTGTGACAGGTAAAAAGGCCAAGGCAGGGAACCCTCCTCACTATTTTCCCTGTCAAACCTGTATCCAATTGCACCTCTCTCTGTGGTGCTGCAGTGGAATGGAGGGAGAATATTCTTCTCCTGGCCACAAAAGTCCACTTCTGGTGCAATGAATGAAAAGGTGGACAGTTTTGAGGGCTCAAGACGCTACTTTAAGTCACAACATCTGTACACCTTCCTATCCTACGACTGCAACAATAACATATAATTTGACACCAGACACAGAAAGGTGTCATTAAAGCAGGGAGGAAATTAGAGAAGGCAGAGTGGATGGAGAGTGAACTCTGGGGGTTGGGGAACAGACTGCTTACTCTCAAGAAGGATGCCCAAACCTCCTCCTCCTCCTCCTCCTCGGTGCAGCCTCCTCCTGAGCAGCAAGAACAACATCTTAATATGCTGGCCCGGGCCAGGCGACGCAAGCTCCCGCGCCCGAGGCTGCCCGGCTTCGCTCCAAGCGGCGCGCACTCACCCAGGCACCGGATCTGGAAGCCGGCGGGCGGCTTGAGGGAGCGGCGCGTCCAGCCCTCGCGCAGCGCCTCCAGGTGCTCCTCCTTGCCCTGGATCAGCAGCACCTGCTCGTCGATCCAGCCCAGGAAGAAGGTCTCGGCCACCGCCGCCGTCACCTTCTGGTTCCAGAAGTGCTGCATGTTCTCCTGCTTGAAGTCGGCGAAGATCTCGTAGCCCATGTGGTGGCGCCCCAACTCCCTCGCCGCCGCCGCCGCCGCCTCGCCCATCCCGCCTGGCCGGGGCCCCGGCTGGCTCTCCTCGCCCGGCGGCGGCGGCGGCTCCTCTCGGTGCCCGGCAGGCCGCCGCGAAGCCCCCTCGGAGAGCCCGCGGCCTCATCCGACGAGGCATCTCCGCGCCCCGGCAGCCTCACGGGGAGGAGACGGCGCGGCAGACACGGCGCGCCTCCCGCAGCCCGCCCATGAGCCCCGGGCGAAGCCTCCGCTCCGCTCCGAGGCGCCGCGTCGCTGTCAGCCGCTCTCTCGCGGCTGCCGACTCCGCTCCGACCGCCCCCGCGGGTGGAGCCTCTCCCGCCGCCCGCCTCCTTCTGGCTGCACGGGGGCGTCCGGCCGGCCTGCCTGCCTGCCTCCCCGGGGCGCGGTGGGGCAGCGCCGCCCGCTGGTGCTTCCCTTCCCGGACTCTCGGCCTCCCCTCCGCCGCGACCTGGAGCTCCTCGCCTCCAAACTTCAGATTGTCCCGTTTCTCACACTCACACACACACACACACACACACCCTGGCATGACGCGGGGGTTAAAATTACAAAACCCAGAAGCACCTCGCCTCGTGGCTTTGCAAGGTTGCCTGCTCTTTCTCTCTGTGTTGCTGCTGCCAGCGCCACAGCCCTTCTGGAGGCAAAACCACTCCTGGCCCCTCGCCCAGCGCAGTTGACCCCACGGAACTCAGGGGCGTCTGGCGGAGCCGGGACTAGGCGGGGGAAGAGAGCCAGTTCGGTGTAGTGGTTAAGTTTGCGGACTCTGATATGGGAGAACGAGGTTTGGTTCCCCACTCCTCCACTCGCAGCTGCTGGATGACCTGGGGCAAGCCATAGTTCTGTCAGAGCTGTTCTTGAAAAAGAGCAGTTGCTGTCAAGAGCTCTCTCAGCCCCACCCACCTCACAGGGTGTCTGTTGTG